TGTTTTGTTAACTTAGTAATTTTTTCCCAACCAAAAACAATAGTTTTTCTATCACTATATATCTAAGTTAATAATATTGAGTAGAATCTAAACAACATCATAATAGGACTTTTAATATTAAAGACGCAACTCTTTATACCAATTCATAACTTGCATATAATCTCTAGACGCAGTTTTTATATATATATATACACATCGAACAATTACTTAGTTTAATATATAAAGGGTTTTATTTATATTTGAATTATTGAATCTGTTTTTCTCTTTTCTTTATAGTTTGCAGTTAACTTCGCAAACGGAATGATTGAAATTTACTTTTCATCATTTGATCGTCCTCGTGCATATTTTTACCTGGATATCATTCGAATTAGCGTTCCCACGCAGCTTCAATTTTCTGTGCTCCAACCCAACATGAAAAAAACTGAGGTCTTTAATGTTTATTTGGTAAGTCTCTCTGTGTCGTCTATAAAAGATGCACTACATTTTCTCAAATGTATTTTATGTTGATTCAAATATAATTTATTTTAAACTTGTTTGCATATATTAATATTTTTTCGATTCATTTCCTGATGGTAACGATTAAATACCATTTTAAAATGGAACATTTCTGGTCATAGATTCATCTCTGCTGGAAGTATTTGAAACATGTTAGAAAACATTTTTCAATTGATAATAAAATCTATTTGCCAATATATTTGAATGTTTGGAACTGTTGTTGGAAAGTTTCGCTTATATAAACAATGCAATAAAACATTACAAAATGAATATTTGCAATTGCATATTTAAACAAAATTGCCATCGCTCCAAACTAGTCGTCTCATTTTCCGTCGACATACACATACACATACATGCATAAAACGGGTGAGAAAATACACTAACGCTCAAACATATTCTCTGTTAGAAAACCTTATTAACCATATCCAATTGATGCAGCGATTTCTGAAATTTTTTAATTGCAAGATACAAATATAATCATTTTATATATAAACAAAGAGAAAAAGAGTAATTCGGATTTAAACTTCTGTAAAAATGTGGACAATTCAGTAACTGGTATTCATAATTCTTTTTGTAGAATGTGTCAACAGAAGTGAATGCTCAATTCAAAGATAACAAATTTTATTTCTCTATTGCAAACATTAGGTAAGATGAATCGTTTCTTTATTCAAATTATTGGTAATAAATGCATTATGAATATGATATCCTTTCTCTTTATGGAAACGCGAATGGTGATTTCACACATTTTACAATGAAGTCGTAAAATCCCGTGTTAATATTGGGAAATAATATGTATAATATTGTCTTTATTAACTGACATCAAGATAAGGTTGAATGATTTCGGAAGTTCCAACCAATCATAAATATCTATACTTTTTAAAGATATCTTATTTATCCCCCATAAATTACGAGAATATGATGAAATCTGAATGTAAAACACATCGTGTTTTGTTTTATACCTTTCAAATAATATCAGTAAAAAGTCCAATAATTCTTCTTTAACTAGTTTCTTAGGCATATTAATCAAGACTTCTGAAACTTTTGAATTTATCTCAATATCAAATGTTATATCATACTTTAAGGACATGTAACGAACTCATAGATCAATGTCGGTAATTTTAAAGAAATGTTTCTTACACGTCTCCCCATTTGAACTATAATTCGATTTTGCAACAAATAGTCAACTAAATGCGAACCGATTGAAAACTTCCGAATTAATTTTAGGAGACCATTCTTGATACTATTCTTCTTTTCAAACATTTTTGACAGAAAAGAAGTCACTAATATTGAAAATGTTTTCATCGTATGTATAGATGGAATTTGATGTAAGCCTCTGGATTAGATCTTCTTAATCTGGCATACATATCATGTTAATCTTGTTTATATGTCAATCTAAATTATATCATATTTTCTAGATTAAATCCTCTTAACAGTAGGAAATTCTGTCTCTTATTTCCTTGAATGAAATGTCCATACACACATATACACACATTGGAACATGTATTGGTAGCTATTTATATCTCTTTCTAAACATCCATTAAACAGGAATCCCCTATCCATATGACCTCTTTCCGTTCCCAGCATGATGAATGGGTCTCATTTCGGGATTTTTTTCGTGTCGCGTCTTGGACTGACATCTTCGACCTCCCAATTAAAACTTACGTCACTGAAGTCAGAACAGGTGCCTATTCACTACTGTTCGTAATAAATGTAAGGTGTCGGAGGGACTAACAACTTTGGCTTTCGTGCTTAGTGGCGGCACTGTAATAGAGTACTATATAAGTGCAAGCTCTCTATTCTCCACCTTCAATCCATTTGCATTGTCATCATTCTCTGCTGATAAAGCTGTAAGTTTTGCCCGTAAATTCTCCTCAGACACTTCCCTTAGCTTAACTGATGTAAACCTGCCTAACTTCCCACTTAGGACTGAATTTCTGTTGAGTGATATGCATATAAATCCTTCCATGGTTTCTGCTATTATCTCTAACTTTGATCCCAACAAAGCACGTGAAGTCGATTGTATCTTTGTGATAGTCATTAAAATTGTGATCCCGAACTTACTCCTGTTTTCTCTAAACTGTATATTAAATGCCTCGCTGCCTCCTGCTTCTCTGCCTGCTGGAAGTTATAAACTGTTATTCTAGTTTTTATGAACTCTGATGACCGATCCATCCATCCAACTATCGGTCTATTAGCTTTCTACCTCTTTTTGGGAAACTACTATAGGCTCTAATCAATGCTGAATTGGTCCATCATCTCTCATCGCAGTGCCTTCTCTCAGACAAGCAATACGGTTTTCGTCTCTCCAGATCAACTGCTGATGTACTAACGATAATTGCAGAAAGTGTCATTCATGCTCTAGAAGAAAACGGTGAAGCCATGGCTATAGCATTGGACATCTCGAAAGCCTTTGAGAGAGTCTGGCATTCAGGACTTTTCCATAAGCTGAAAGGTTACAGTATCTTCGGTCACATTTTTTGAGCTGATCTAGTCGTTCATTAAATCTTGAAATGAAAGTTTTCCTGAACGGTCACTCGTCTACATTCGGAGTAACGCGGGTGCAGGCGTAGTGCAGGCGAGACATTCAACTTAAAACCCACAAAATCCGTATCACCTGTTAATTAATCGGTCTTTTTACAAACTTGAGTCCCAAATAAAAATCGGGCTCCTGCATGACACAATGACGTAAATTGAAAAACTGGATCTGGGATGCAGCCTGGGAGAAAGAACAAAGTTTAAAAGAAGTGGGAAATGGATTGCTGAGGGCATGGTCAACACGGAGGTTTGTATCGATGTTTTAGTAACGACGGGGTCACACGGAATTCTATGCAAGGCACCTCTAACTGGGCCACGTAGGAATTTCTAGTTGAATTTAAAGAACGCCCGAAAGTTTAGAATGTAATCCGCCCAAATACCTGAGTGCCAGCCGACTTACCAATTTTTGAAAGCCTGAGTCCAAATTGAAAATCTGTCTCCGTTACGAATTGACGCCGTAAATGTCGGAAGGTGAATCGACATTTGACGTTAATTGCAGCCTGGGCGTGAAAAGAAGTCAAAAACTGACAGCTGATGGCAGGGTCGAACCGGAGCTTTTTATTGATTTTTTGAAGCACGAAGGGGTCTCGCACGAAAGGGCCCGTAATCTGGTCGGGGTCATTCATTTCTGTCTATTAAGGGTTGTCACAGTGGTGTTTTTTGGGGCAAGAATTTCCCGCCCAGCAAGACACTGAATATTGTTGTACTTGGTTGAAAGATCAGGAAAAACTGATTCCCTGAGTGTTGCTGGCGTTGCGACCAATGTAGACAACACTTGGATGTTTACAAATCCATTAGTGGAATAATACCTTCGCCAAGGGCTAATAATGAATTCGAAAATTCGGCGGACCCAACATCGCCAGTTAGGTGTGCACGCATGTTGGTGGTAAGGTGCAATGGTCTAACAGTGGGCCAAAGTTGTGACGATTTCAAGCACGCTCGAATAGCGTCGGCCCTTATCCCCTTAGGTACAACGGGGTGGGTCTGGCGAAAGTCACCGGATAGAAGGACAGTTATACCTCCCATAAGGTCATCGGAGTTTCGAATATCCTTCAGAGAGCAGTTTACAGCCTCGAGTGCAGTTTTGGGACTGAGAGTGCACTCATCCCAGACGATGAGCTTACATCGACTGAGTACCTCCGCTAGACCTGATAGCTATGCTATACTGCATGCAGCTGTTTCTGCCTTAATCAGGTCAAGCGAAAGTTTAAACGTTGAGTGCACTGTTCGGCCACCCGGTAGTAATGAGGTAGCAATGCCTAAAGACGCTACTGCTAGCGCCACTTCGCCATGGCACCGAATTTCTGCAAGAAGCAGTTTTGTTACGAACGTTTTTCCCGTTCCCCCAGGCGCGTACAGGAAGAAAATTGATCCTGTATCCTGACTGGTGGATTCAAGAACCGCATCGTAAGCGGTCCTTTGGTCTGGGAGAAATTTCGGCTCATTTGTTGTGACATAATTGTTGAGCTCCTCAACAAAGTAAGATGTCCCTGCACAATGAGAGACTGGAGGTTCTCAATGATTATAAGCGCCCTGTTGTAAATTTCATCTTTGAATGTAAGAGCCATTGTTGGACACAGCAGTTGCGCTTCTCTGAGTATCACTGGGTTCGCACATTTGTAAGATTGTGGTGAAGAGGTGGAGCAAAGCAGAGGGCATTTTAAAAGAGCTCCCTCAGCCATTGTGGCATCCCACTGGCTGTCGTCTTCCAAAAGGCCGGGACGGAGGCAGGCCTCACGAAAAGTGTCACATAAAATTCCATTAACCGTCCTTAAGTTATTGTAGCTCGTTGGACCACAAACTGTAAAAGGAGTCGCAAGTAAAAACATTCCTGTCGCGATGGGGGAACCGCTAATACCCTTCGAGTGTGGCGTCTTTTTTGACGCCTGGATAGCCCTCAATGTTGGCCCGCACTTCCGCCAAGCCCAGGTGTTCTTTTTTGTCCACATGTAGTATGAAGTCACGTCTGGTTACAGTAAAGTCGTAGCAAATTCGTCCTGTCGATAAAGTTTGAAGAACGCTGTAAGTGTTGTGTCTTTGGTACGCGCAGCCACATCCATTGTTGTATCCTCAGAAAAATAACGAAGTTCGTCGTTTTCTAGGTGCACTGCAATCTGGACGATTGCTGGGAAGCGTTCGTGGATGGGGAAGCTGAATATATGCCAAGGGCCCTCTGTTCTGCTAATGACGCGCCCTGCAAGGAAGTCCTGGATTTGTCTACGTACGGAACCTTCCTGCCTAATACCAAACATTGCAGCATCAGTCCCTTTGTTGATGTACTTGCATACATACTTGATGGAGCGAAATGAATGGCAATATTCGACATTGATGTGCGCATTGAACGCTTTTGTTAGCAGGGGACAGTATGGCACTACCTATCTGTTATCCACTTGGTGGCCCTTTACCACGGCTGTAAATCCTCCCTCAGCGGGTCTCCTTCGCCGGTAAAGTGGATAACCATCGCTCCCTGTAATGGTTTCGCTCACGAAATCTCGTGGGTACTACCGGGTGCATTTGCCGTCGCTGTTGTGACAGCTGGTGTAATTGTAATGCGACCCGCAGGGGACCATGAATCATGTTGGTTGTCACTATTTCGTACAATTCAGGGTCAACGTACGGATCAGGAATTTCAGCAGAAATAAAATGATCGATTTCTGTGACCTCAATCTTGTCGCACAGGCAAAGTAGTATATGTGCAGGCCGCGTTTCTGCCACTCAATAGTGTGCATGCGATAGCAAACAGCCCAAAAAACCTGGCCCTTTGTAATCACATCCATTAGCTTTCACAACTTCAGATGGTAAACGCGCGCAATGAGGTCGTAGGCCGATTGCCCTGGCATAAGTTCTTTAGCAATTGCGTACCATTTTGGGTTACACGTGAAAGTTAGGAATAGGTCTGTTCGGCCGTACTTACGAACGTATGTCATCGCGTCTTGTGTCCTCGCGTGCATGTATCTTGGACTGCCTGTGAACGTTGCAGGTAGTATGCACATGTTGGCTATATTGCATGGATCAGCGTCATTTCGTAAAGCATCACGGAGGTGAATATGAAGGAAAAGTTCGCAGCGCAACTTGGTCTGATTCAATAGGTAGGCGTAGAAAGCCCTGCAAGACATTTTTTAATGTGGGACACATTTTGCAGAATGCCAAAGTGGTACCCATATCCTCTGTAAGGGAAGAGATGTGGGTATTGCAGTGCATCGTTGGACCGGTGCGTTTCACTGATTCTTCGGAGACCACTGCCGCGCGATTCGATAACAATGTCAAGTCTGTTGTGCTGATCACCGCTGACAATGACGGAAACTTCGTTACTTGCGGGAGCATTGTAACGACGTTCGTGCTCTCTCTGAGGCTGTTTGTCAGCATCAATTACAATAATGAAATCAGAAGTAGTGTTATTTTCGAGAGCATACTTAAAACCGCGGACATAGCTGTTTGACTCTTGGAGCATTTGTTGGAGACTCATTATGATATCCCTGCGAGGATGATTGTCCTGGCCTGTATCGTTCTCGGGAATAATGCCCATGCCGGCATTTGCCTGTTGATTGTAGTCAGCTATTTGTAGAAAGGCCGAATCAATGGCAGTTTCAGGCAAAAATATCTAATCCTGTGGTAAAACTGACCTTGAACCTTGAAGGTGGGATTCCAACCGACTTCGCGGAAGGCATTACCACCAATAGAGGTCATCTGGAAGGCACAGTTGTACTGTCTGATTTTTGCGAGGAAACTGGACTGGAACCTTCCAACAGAGCTTTCCACGGAGCAGGTAGCTCTTGAAAAGGTGGCAACTGTACCTTACCGTCTGAACGACACAAACCTGCAGACTCTCCAATCGATTTTTTGGCATTGCAATGCCCAAAGACAACTGACATGGATTCTATTTGGAGGTCTTTGCGACCGGAAAGCCTCAACACTGGCTCATAATTGAACGCCAGCTTAAACCAAAACAGCTTTGGTGAGCTACAGAGCCCTCGCTGTGCATGGCGGCGCTGGCTACCAGTCTGCAACCTTTCAAGCCTTTCAGTAGGTACTTCTACAGCTCTAGCAACGGAAGTTGAAATTGCATCGCGTTGCCGCCATGTGCGCTTTTGCGCGGAACTTTCCAACGCCCTTGCAGCAGAAGTTCCAGCGGCGTCGGCTGCATGGCGTGCGGTTTTCTCAGCCATGGATTCCAGGGACCGTCGAATGGACGTTGCCGCAGCTTTCGCTGTGTTACGTGCGGTTTTCTCAGCCGTGGTCTCCTGGTACCGTCGAATGGAATTTGCAGCGTCGTCGGCTGCATTGCGAGTAGCTTTTCGATGCGGGCTCTGTCGAGAACGCAAAAGCGCTTGTGATGAAGCCGCTTTTTTTTTGTTGTCTTGCAAGCGTTTAGGTAGTTCCTCTTACTTTTCAACGAATATGTGTAAACTGATTTGCAGTACAAAAGGTAGTTACGCTAAATAAGTGCTACATGTGACAAAACAAACTGCCTCCGTTGAGATTGACTGGAAAGCCGCTTTTTAGAACGCCTGCTAAGGTTGCAAAAACTCGATATTGAGTGTTTTTAAAGCCTTTGCATTGGGGTCTTCAGTTGCTGAGGTGTACTGGGTAAAGAGTAAAGGCAGTATCTTCAACTTACAGTGAAAACTCATCCGTGGAGTAAAAAATAGGTTGGGCAAACGATTGAGTAAATTAGTTTCTTCATCTCTACAGCAGTTTACTGTCTAATAGCAAAACTGAAATATGAATAGGTAGAAATAGGTATGGAACGCTAAAGAGGCAGCACACAGAGATAAAATGGGTAATGCAGACGTTTACAATAGGTAAAGCGGTAGCAGGAATCTCTGTCAATTAATCCTTGACAGATGCGTTAATGGCGATCAATTTTTGAGGTGATGCAAAACATATAAAGGTATTTAAAGGAGCATGACTTGTCATTGATTGGTGTAACAAACGACAATGGCCATGACTTAGACCAATGAATGAGCTGAGTGAAAAAATGGAAGATGTTAGTGCACATTCCTTACATATTCTTTTCATGATTTGGCAAGCACATGGCTTATAAAAACGGGTCAAGCTGCCTGCCGCATATGCAGCTTGGCTCTAATTTGCATGATGCCGGTGATGAGAAATATTTAAGTTCAATGGCGTTTGCTCATTTGGTTTGTGCGACCCTGGAAAAGTCCACCGATTTGCCGGCATTAGCTTTGAAATGGTTTGGCAGAAGCCCTGCTGTTTTAGCGCAAAAACTACTCATCAGGTCTGGGGGATTGGCCTGGGCTGGGGAAAGGTTTAAAGAATTGGAAAATGGAGTTTTGAGGGCAGAACCTTTTTCACTCAGCACATATGCGGGTTTTTTCAGTAAAGACACGAATAAAGGAAGTGCTTATTTTGGTAAGATGCGACAAGTAAAGCAAAATTGTTGACAAAGTCAAATATGTCATTTATGGCTCACAGTCAGACCTGGTAGCAGGAATAAAAAAGCCGGATTTTAATGGCCCTGCACCCATTCCAGAATTTGAGGTCAAATGTTTTCTTCCACTCCACTGCATTTTTGACCTGTTTCTTCTTTGCATAGTGTGACCTTAAATTAATCTGCATTTAGGAAATACCCAACCGAAAAAACATTTTTAAGGGTTGACCGATTGTCGATTTGCATTCTGTTTGGGTGGGAAACTTCACATGGTGACTCATAAATCCGGTCTGTTTTCGCTAAAAACCGACATGCGGTTCAGGCGCAATCTGGGCATATCGTTTTTTGGGTTTTATCGATTTTCCGTGATATTTAGGGGTCCATGGTCATGAAACTTCTAATGGTAGACTCTAAGAGGGTGTCAAATTTGGTTAAAATGTGATCATTCCTTCTGTAAGCAGATTTTTTCGATTATCGATTTTTTTCGGAACCTGAGTCCGAACTCAAAAATTGGGCCCTGCCATGTCCTTATGGCAGCCATTTGCAAACTTCTGGTGAAAACCGCATCGAAATCGGGTGAGAAATGCAGCCTGGGCGAGGTAACAACGCCCATGACAGACAACATGAGAAATATAGAAAGTAGATAGATCTATAGAATAAATGCATCAGTGTGTCACAATTTCATCTTTACTCCTGGAGGCCATAGCCCAACATATACCATTTTAGAATCAGGCTGACTGTGAGCAAATTAAAAACATTCCAGTGCAGATTCAGACCTGTTTAACCTGATATTTTGAGGTCCTAAGTTTTCATTACTGCAATTATTGTCAGTGATTTTTGTACATCATTTTTTATAACAATTTTTATAACTTGGAAATAAATTTGGGAATAATTGAAATTCGTTGTGAAATCAAGTAAAAGTCACCCATGAAATAAAAATAAGTAAGGCCCTACTTACATCAACTTATCTTTAAATTAAGTGGTAGCAGAGGAATTATCATTGGACTTTTAAAAGGTAAATTTAATTAATGCAATACTTAAATACAGTGATCAATTTTGATTTCTTCTGTAGTTTATTGTTGCCTATTGTATCTACACCTCCCTACCAATTGTGATGAAGGCCCAATCAAGAGCACTCTGAGGAGTTACCTTAAATGCCATCTGATAAGGCAGCTTTGAAGCTTGTGTGTGTTAGACATATTTTTTTTCCAAATGTATCTATATTTTTATAGTTTATATCTTTTTCATCAGTCCCACTTCACCTCCAATAAGAAGGTGATAACTTAGGTTTAAAATGCATTTTAAAAACTTACACGTCTGTCTTGTAGCTTTTATTTCATTTTTTTTTTACCTAATAAATTAATAGATTAAATTCAATATTTCAATAAAAAAAATACTTTTTTGTATTTCATATTAAATTTAAATTGATTGGAATAATTTTTTCTGATTATCAGTAAGATCTACAAAATCATCAGTATTGTTAATACAACATATATATCTCTTTATTAAAAAAATCTTTCAAAAATAAAATATATTTTTCTGAAATGTTATTTCAGAAACATTAGCTGATTTAAAGTTTAACTTGAATTGAGACAAATATTTTTAGCTTAAAATGCCATGAGTATTTTAATGAGGTGTTTACAGATCTATCAACAACCTGATGTTTGGAAAATCTATGTCAGACAGCACATAACTGTAAAATGTACATGAATAAATTAACATTTTTATGTAATTTAACTACTTATTTAGAAGATTTAAGAAAATTCTAAGCAATCTAATATTTTATTGAATTTTAGGTACTTTTTAGCTTTACTGACAAAGACACTTATGGAGGCAGTGTTAAAAAATTACCCATAAATTTTTAATTTACAATGATTATCAATCTTATTTTCTAACAGAAATTGTATTGACAAAAATTGACATATTTATCCATATAAAATAAATTTACAACTTGTTAAAATACTGTGGATCATTGAATTGTAGTGAGCCTTTTCATTTATGGTTATTAAATAGTTTTGTTAATAACAGTATCACTTGACTGCTAGAAATTAATACTGCATTTTAAAAGATTTAAAAATTTATAAATTATTCTAATTTTTTTTTAGAATGAAAACAATTCTTCTAAAAATTCATTATTCATTGAAAAAAATGTTTTAAGAGAATTGCCCATATATTTTATTAATAGATTAAAAGCTTTTCTAAATTCTATTTAACTAATGTCTTAATTGTATTACATTTCCTTTACAAATCAGAGCAGATTTTTTTTTTTTTTTTTTATCTGGGGTCATGTTTGACCCCAAAATTTGATGATTTAAATTCTCTGAGAAAATTTCCTTCTAATATAAATATCAACTGCTTCAAAAATGAATTATCAAAGTTGCATAAAATTAAATGAGTGTGTGACTGTGTGTGTGTGGGGGGGAAGATGCAAGAAAAAAAGAAAAATTACAAAGATTTTCTATAAGGAACAAAAAACAATTCATTAAAATTATCTGATTTTTTCAAAAATTTCCCAATCAATGTTTTTCACCACAAAATGACACTCAAATTTCCTATACAAATTTATGGTGCTGTGTGGACAAAGAGACAAGATTTTTAACCAAAATTTTCAAGGTTCTAAAAAAAAATTTTCTAGGTTTTGATAAAATTTTCTTTTTATTATGTTTTCTCCATTTTTTTTTCATGTATCCTTTTTTCTTTCTTTTTTTTTATATATAATTTTTGGAGGTACCTATTTTGGGGTTTATTTAAATAAAAACTTATGTTACATTTAGTTTGCACATAAAACACAATATTACCAAAACAAATATTTTTAATAATGACAGATGTTTTGAAATACACACAATATATTGCTCATTAATTATATTTTGAAAATTTTTAAATATGTACCATGAAAAATTTGCACCAAACTTGATAAAAAGAAAGTTTTATCATTAAAATGTTAAGATAAAAGACCAAAGTATTCTTGATTATTGTATTAAATTTTTTAATCCTTTCTAGCATGTTTGAAATTTTAGTTAAAAAGCTTGTTTTTCTTGCAAAGATTAGTATGTGAAATTTAGCATCTTTTTTGCAATAAAAAACATTGTTTTGGAAATTCTTAAAAAAATTGTCAGATTTTAATGAAATTTTCAGGACTTATTTACAAATGAATTAAATTATTTTTGAATTTTTAAAAAAATCTTTGTGTATATATATATATATATATATATATATTACATCTGTTACACACACTTAATTTTATGAAATTTTGAGAAATTAAAATTCCAATTTCTTCATATTGAAAGCAGGACACTAGAGAATTTAAATCATCAATTTATTTTTGTCAAATAAAAAAATACCATTTACTGAAAATCTGCTCTGAATTATGCAATAAAAGTATAACATAAATAATGTTATACTTTTATTGCAAAAAATACTTTTATTGATAAAAAAAAAAGCTAAAATATATTAAGAACACTATTGTCTTTAGAAAAAAACAATTCTGTGAATAATGAATTTTTATAAAAATTGTTTTCATTTTTTTAAATTTTTAATTAGAGCAATTAACTTTTAAATTTTTCAAAATTCTGTATTAATTTCGGTCTTTTACATGCTATTAAGTAAAAACTATATTTACTAATCATAAATGGAAAAGCTTCAATCACTAATAATATTTTAAAAAAGAAATTTTGAATTTTTCATGTGTATAATTTAAATATGTCGATTTTTGTAAATATGGTCATTCCTATAAGACATAATCAGAAAATAAGTAAATTTAAATAACAAAAAAAGTAAAATTAAATAAAAAATTAATTAGATTAAAGAAGAATAAAAAAAAAGAAAGGAAAAAGAGAAAAAAAAAAAAATTAAATAAAAAAGAAAGAAAAGTTAAAAAAAGAAGATAAAGAAAAAAAAAAAAAAAAAGAAGAAAGAAGTCAAACAAAAGAAAGAAGAAAAGAAATAAAAGAAAGAAAGAAAGAAAGAAGAAAAGAAAGAAAGAAAGAAAATTTAAAAAGAAAATTCCTCAAATAAAATTCCAAAGAAAGAAAGAAATTTTATTTTTTGAATGAAGAAAGAAATAAAGAAAAAATTAGATTATGTTGAAAGATGGAAAAAAGGGAAAAGAAAAAAAAAGAAAGAAAGAAAGAAAGAAAAAAAAAAAAAAGAAAAATCAAAAAAAATTCGTTTGAAATACAAAAAAAGTTACTTATTTAAATATTAAATTTTTATTAAATAAAACAAATAAAAGTATTTTGCTTTATTTTCATTTAAAAAAATCATTTAAAAAAAAAAGTATTTTCATTTTCAAAAACTAAAGTCATTTTAAAACCTTTAGCCTAGGTATCGCGTTTTTCTCTGGTAGTTAGTAGTACTTATTTTAATTTAAAATTAGTGGTAAAATTTTATTTGAACAAAAAATAAAACACTGACTTCCATAATAAAATCTGATAAGTGTACTGTAAAGTGTCTTCTGTCTTCAGCTTGGTTGTTTGTCGTAATTTTTTTCTTCCTTTTGGAATCGTTTTTTTTTTTTGTTTTTTTTTTTTAAATTTGAACCAACCCCTATTCAATCCATAGATCTAGGTTCTTTATTAATAGTTTAAATTTACATAAATTTTATGACGGCATTTTAAAGTTTTTAAAAATCCGTAATAAATGCTAGATTTGAAATAAAAATTGCTATTATTTTTACGCAACAAATTACGCGGCACTTATTTTTTTATGAACCGCGTTACTTAAAACGATTACTTTGTTACTTTATGTAAACAGTAAAAAACAAAGTAACAGGCACTTGATTATTTACAGCTAATTTGTTTAAATAATGCACTGACTATTGTTTGCGTCACGAAAATAGTTGTAAG